TCCTGCTGCTCTTCTTTAACCACCAACAGCTGCTGGACGTCTGTGGAGAATAATGAAATACTTTCATTCATTTCAGTAATCTCATATTAATTTCTCGATTATTGTCATAAAAATGGCATACACGCACTTCTTGAATAATTATTATATAATAGTCCAAATGACCTCAATTAATGTCAACAGTCAAATCCTGCTCTTTTTTTAACCGTTTCCTTTTTTCTGCGCTTTTCAGGTTGTTATTTGTGGCGCATGTAAGGAGGTGAACAACGTAGGTCATAGTCTTAACTTCGCTGGACGAACAACAGACCGTCTTGTTTTTTTGGATCCCGAAGGAGAGCGGATAACTTCTTCGCCCTGTTATCTCCCTGTTAACGTCGACATTTTGTCAGTCGTAAGGAAGAACAATCCTCTTAATTTCTGAGGAAATCTCTCTGCCACACAGAGAGTTTATCGCCACACAGCTTGGAGCTCAGCAGCCAAGTTTTAACCAAGAAACTCTAAGGACCACGTCGACCAATAAGGAGTCATCTCACAGTAAGAAGCTTTGTGTCTGGGCAGGCAGAGTTAGGTCATAGTGTGTTTATTACCTTGTTTTGTTTGTTCTAAGTTTACCGTTTTGTTATAACATGTTCTTGTGTATGTTCATGGACCGCTGAATTCTGTTAGTGCTGTGAAGAAACTACTGTTGTGTTCCATACTGCTGCAATAGTGTTGTGTTAGATCATCACCACGAGTGAAGTTGGTAATTGTGACTTTATCAGTTTAAAAGACCAAAACCACGGCTGGCTGAATCCAAGACCGCCAGTCGTGGTTCTGTGTGACAGAGAAGCAGTTTCCGTATTTTACTGCGGCGGTGAGGATCTTCCTTGTTTTGAGTGTTTTCCTTTTTTCACCGATACTTTAAAGAGCAGCATTCTGTGATTACGTTGTGCATGTGTATTGTGATAATAGCTGATATCAAACCTTCACCGTTGACTCTGAATGTGTAATAGTACTTTAACTATGGAGATTGTGATTGAATACTAGTTATGAGACTTCATTTATAGTTTCTTGGTCCCTGATCTTAGGGTGGTGGCCCGTATTTATTAATAATTGTTAATAATCGTATTGACATTAATTCTATTGATGTTAATAATTTAGTTTTTCATATTTGCTGATCACCAAACACGCTCCTGCCAGATCCCAACAAGCTATTAAAGTAAAAGAACAAGTATATATATATTTGTTCTTTTATTTTAAAACAAAGTAATGTAATAAAGACTTGGATTGCAGAAAAGGATGAACCCGTCAGTGACACTCCAGTTAAGCAAATATACCCTGAAGCTTGAGCACAGAAAATCTGAGTACATGTAAACAGTTTGAGCACAAATCCAAGAGCAGGCAAAGGCTTTGTGAGTGTGAGGACAGTTTAGAACAGGCATGGGCAAACTATGGCCCGCGGGCCATATACGGCCCGTTGGGCTTTTTAATCCGGCCCGTCAAATATTGGTACAATATTGTCCAAATTATAGTAAAGACCACATTCATTTTGCCTTTTTCCTGCAATACCCGACATTTCAGTTGATCCCACTAGATGGCGCACTCCAGACACAATTGACCTTTGCTGGGGTCTGGTCTATTCTCTCTAGATGACGCCCACACCCGTGTTCCATACTTGATTGGTTCTTAGCAGTCATGGCGTGTTATCTGCCTCGTGACACCCTTATCACATGACCCTTACCCGGAAGCTCACAAACAACATTGATTACCGATCGACTACCAGGTTAATTCAACATGAACAACTGATTACAGGCATCACTGACCTTGTTGTCTTTACTCGCAGCTGTTGTTCAGTTAAAGTCTGCATTATTACGGAGGAAGCAGCTGTTAATGGAGCGATTAGCGAGCAGCGTGTCCAGCGCTACCGAGCGGACGTCTGAAGTCAGGGTTAGCGGCTTTAGGGAGGGTGATGGACACAAAACGGAGGACTTTCCTTTTCTTATTCATGCTTATTTTGTTCTACACAACTACTGTGAAGTCCGCAGATAAAATGTAAAGGAACAAAACATTAAATGCTCCGCAGTAGGACAGATAGTTAGTTCAACCACCAGCAGAGCTACGAGTGAGAACAACGAAACTGAACGAGTACGTGTTGACCATATTTATGGACCCATAAACTAGTAAACTTTTATGTGCAAGTGTTCCTTTTAAAGTTAATTGTATGTGAGAGAGAGAGAAAGACCCGCAGCGCTGTAACTAACGTTAAGTCTGAAAAATAAAACTTCCAAAACTTTCCACTAACTGTGTCTGTTTGAGTTCATAGAGGAAGATTTTAGAGAAAATCTTAAGTATCAAACACAACCTTTCATTATTATAGACTACTTTATTACTCTGTCGTATTTTTTTAAACTAAGCAACCAATCTACTTCCTGTTTACACCGACACCCACATGCCCAGTGTACGTGAATAGTCACGTGATATTCGTTTTCAGGCGTTTTACTCTGGACGGAAATCATTTAGAAAACGATGCTGAAACGCCGTGTGGACGGAGATCGTTTTTGTTTTAAAACGAAGTTCAACTCCCTTAAACTGGACGAGTTTTATGCTTCACTAAGCAAAGTTAAGTTTCCAAACATCAGGAGGATGGCACAGAGGATGCTGGTGTTTAGCTCTACCTATGTGTGTGAGCAGACGTTCAGCGTGATGAACATCAACAAATAACGTCACAGATCCCAGTTAACTGATGAACACCTCAGATCTGTCCTGAGAATTGCCACAAGCAAACTGACACCAAACGTTGATGCACTGGTTTAAAGGGTGACCAACAACACTGTCCCCACTGAAATTAAATGTAAGTTTTATTTACTTTTTAGGTCATGGCTTTTACTTGTAATTTATATTAGTTCACACAAACTCTCCATCCATCTGCTACTGGCCCGGCCCGTCTGTCAAATTTTAAAACTCAATGCGGCCCCCGAGCCAAAAAGTTTGCATACTTCAGTGCACGATGTGAATACCTCAGTGCACGATGTGAATACCTCAG